GACGCGTTTTATTTGCGGGGTCTGTGCGCAGCATGTGCATAACGATGCTCGGAGCAGGCTGTACCTGTGGTAAATATACGGCCCTCAGACAGAACAGGCAGGTGTGGATGTGCTGTCCTGGAAGGACGTTCAACTCGGTTTTGTTTATAACCATTTGCTTAGCCTATAATTTTAAATGAAAGATTTATTTATTTTTCTCAGCGACACTGAGAAAAATGTCAAACGAATTTAGTATTTTGACAAGACAAATAAAAATAGCTAATAGGCTATTTTTGTACGACCTACATTTTTATTTTTTTTCTCTCTGCGACACTTTTTTCCTATTGTGTTGTCAATGTTAAACGAATTGTATCCTGACAAGACGAATAAAAATAAGAAATACAATTTTTGTACAACATTTTTATTTTCTCTGACACTTCTTTTTCCTACTGTGTTGCATAAAATATTAAACTAATTTTGTGTCAAGATAATTCATATAAATTAAAGTCAAAGTCAATAAATTCAAGACTCTTGACAAGACGAATAAAATAACATACAATTTTGTGCAGAATACACATTTACTTGTCAGCCTATCTCTCTTTCTTTCAGTAGCGGAAATTTAAATGTGAGATTCTGGAAACGAGATCTAAATTTAGCGGGAACGATCGGGTCGGGAAGAAAATTATTCTAAGTGGACAGCGGGTGAAGAAAGAGTGAATAGCCTATATAGCGGGAGCGGGTGGGTGCGGAATAGAACCTTGCTGGAGCGGGACTAAAAAAACAGTCCCGCGCAGACCTCTACTTTCCGCTAAACATCTGAACTCGCTAGAGTAAACACTGTTGGGAATCTGTGTTGCAGATTTGGCACATTTTTCAGAAGAAACCTTTAGTGTCTACAAACTCATTGCATCGAAAGACACTAGTCTCACCATGTATTTCAAATCTGAGAATAATTAAATTATTTTAAGATTATGCTGTGTAATTGTTTTTTTTTTTTTTTAGATGAGACTTTCTTTTTTGGCAAACCAAAGAAAATGAGAGGTATGAATTGGAAACATCTAGTATGTTTCTGCTAACAGGTGCTGTAAGGGCAGAATTTCCAAACGCAACTTTTGCCTACAGAGCAAATGTAACAATGATTTTGCAAATAAAACAATTTCATTTGTTAAATATTGAAGTAATACTACAGTAATTTATTTAAATGTACAATACAATGAACTGTATTTCAGTATAATTGTTGAGTATAAAATTGGTATTGATAAAAGGATGAATGAATGTTTTGAATTGCAAAATAATAATAATAATAATTCATAATCATGAAGTAAGTTTTATAATTATGACTTTAAACTTTTCAATAATTTAACCACACTTCAAATTTATTTCTATAGTCCTTTTCACAATTTTGCATGGTTGAAAAGCAGCTTTACATACATATAGAGAAAAAACATATTGTCAGTTTGAAATGGTGAAAGAAATTCACGTACTTGATCAGAAGTTTTATCACTTCAGTGTATTCCTAATACACTCCAGTGCACCTGTACTAATACACTTTTTCCATTAATGGTTCTTTAATGGCCCGTTGCACTTGAAATGTGGACTGCAGCCCTTTGTGCTGTCAAAATATAATGAATTATTAAACGGATTATTAAAATTATCCTGACCAGCCTTCAAAATTAAACAAAAAGTTAAAATGTCAAATAAATTCAGAGACGTTAAGTGCATGAATAGTAACAACGTAAAATGTATTAAAATAATTTCACTTCATGCATCACATCTAAATCTGCAACGTAATGCGAGACCGTCAAAGCGCCAAATCATTTCATTGCTTTTTACATTAGGAACAGCTGTGTTGTAACTCATTGAGAGTTGAAGAGCCGAGACAATGGGCAGAAAAATGTTACGGATGCTTTTATTCCATCCACATGCATTGAAACATAAGCAGTTTACTTTTAGTAGTATTATACAGTATAGAAAGAACACAAAGTAACCCTAGTTTTAGTCCGTATAGGCTAGTGTTTCCTACGTTCATTTTACGTATGTCTGTTCCCAATGTGTCACTGATGTTCTCCGGATAAGCGAGTTAGCTGGTATGCTGGGGGTGTTAGTTAAAGGCGAATTTTTAAGCTGCGCAATTATTTATAAAGATTAATGTATTGCATTAGAAGCACACAATAATGCCATTAGCACACTTCAAGTTCACTTGGAATGCCATTGCAATGTGTTGCAAAGTCACTAAAAGTCAGTGGGGAACCATCAGGGCCCTCTAGGCCCTTATTGTAAAAACAATATTTACATTTTTTAAATAAATGTTTTAAAATATAATATTTTTAATAAAAAATAATTATTACTGATTTAATTTAAGCCGTTCATAATTTGACAAACATCATCTAAATAAAATAAATACAACTTCTGTGGGGGGGGTATGGAGCTAATATTATGACAAAACAATTTGAATTTAAATTGTGTTAAATTTGAATTATTGACAAGTGTTATTTAACAAAACTGAATATTATGTGGGATTTAAAATCGTTTTGAATTTGATTTTGATTTTAAATTTGAATTTTTTTTTACTTGAATATTTAACATTTGAAATTTAACACAAATGATTTTTTTAAGGCAGAGTTTTATAGACATGTATTTTCAAACAACAGATTTTTTTGTTCTGAATTCTTAGACTGCAAATATCCAGTTTTTAAAAATACAGCTTCAAGTTTTCAAGATGAAGAAGAAATTCGGAACATCAAATTCAATTTTCTAAAATTCAAAACGCAGAAATTCAGATCGTACAGAAAGTAGGTCAGAGGTCATTCACAGGGAAGAGTAGATGATCTCCGAAAAGTGGAACAAAGCATTTTGGCCAATTAGAGCTGCAGTAGTTTTCTGGCGCGAGCGTGCGGCTCAGAAGGTCGCCATTCTTCTGCCTGATCATGAATCGCCCAGAGGTAAGTGATTTTTAAGCATTTATGGTTTATATTTAGATATTATGCTAGCGTTCCCAGCATGTGAAACATTTGTTTAAGCGGTCTCTGGTGTTTGTTTTAAAGTATATTTGGTGTAAAAGTGATTAGCATGCCACCGTGTCTATACTAGACGCGACTGCGCCGCGCCGCAACAGCTTGAAATGACAAAGCGGCCGTTGTAAAGAGCTTGGACTATGCCAGAAATAGAACGGGGAATCCGTTTGCTCATCCGTTTCCAGATGAGGCTTGCATAGCCTGAGTATGTGAAAGAGACTCGTGCAGAAATCAAAAGAATTGAGTGCAACAGCACTCACATAAAGTTATAGATGCATACTGCGGTAGAAAAAAATATATTGATAATATATGATTTAGGTAAGCGAAATTTTAGGACGTTTCCCCGAATATCAACACTACTGCAACAGAGGCAAGTGACTGTTTTTATGAATGGGTTACTGAATCATTTGCTCATTTAATTAACCCATTCATAAAGACAGTAGCTGCGTCCGAAATCGCATACTTCCATACTATATAGTAGGCGAAAAACAGTATGCGAGTTTGAATTGACAAAGCGGCCGTTGTAAAGAGCTTGGACTATGTCAGAAATAGAACGGGGAATCCGTTTGCTGTTGGAAATTTAAGGACACAGTGGATCCAAGATCACCATCACAATCCCACGGGATAGACATTTATACGGCTGCAGTGCAGTTTTGCCAGTCACTTGAGTAATGACACATTAAGTAGACACATGAAGTGCTGGAACTGAATGTAAATTTATTTGATGGAAAATAAATGTTTTTCTTTTTTTTCAAGAACTGTTTCATTAAGTACATTGGCACTATGGAGAGCTAAATTGCTCTGTTGAAAACTATTGCATAGTGGTTTCCCCTTCTCAAAAATAAAACCGCAATTCTACATGAACGTGTGTGTGTAGATGAACTGCATCAAAATTGACCAACAAGTCCAAACAACACAGGACAAACTGTGGTACTGTAACTTAATTTATAGACATGGTGTCTGTATTACTGTATTCAATTTCACATAACTATACAAGCCCAAAACCAAACTCAGACGTGCCAGTGCACTTAAGGAGCACGTCCTTAAAATGGCTGAAATCCATGTAATGACTTGGTAATCATAGCATGTTGAAGCAAGTGGAGGACTTCGGCATGTCAGCAGTAACAACTTCCACTACCATCTTTCTATCTGGCACTTCCCACCCCAGCCAAAATTTCACCAAGTCCTTAAGGTCAGAGCTGGATGCTAGATAAAGCAAAAAAAAAAAACATTTACATTTCAATCATGGGCAGCTCAAAGAAGAAAAAAAAAAGTTTCCTATTTGAGAAATAGAGTAGTGGAAGTATGATGGCAAAACACCACCCTCTGGTTCCCACAAGATTTTCCTATGGGCTTTTATGATGAGTTTCTTCAATTTATGAGTAAAATAAATTCTGTATTAAACATAACTCGACAATCCTTTGATGTTTTGTTCTGCAGTGTAAACACACATCCCAGACGTTAAAAGCATATATTTTCAAAAATTAACACAAATGCTTCACAACTCATGATTTGTGGGTGAGTGTGCAGTTTACATTGTAGAAAAAAAAATCAAAGTATTGTCAAGTCACATTTACCACAGGCTTTATTTTTACTCATAATTGATAAAACCCCATGGGAAAATCTTGAAGGAACCAGTGGTGAAATAGTCTTTCAGTTTCTGATGTCATCCCTGCCACCACTCCATGATTTAATCCAGGTCATCAAACATATGCCCAGTGTTGTAAAATCCAGCAAACTGTATCAAGTACATTTCATACAGACCTAACAAAACAAATGTAAAGATTTATACCTGTCTCAATGAAGTGACGCAAATACCCTGAGATGCGACATCTATCTTCTAGTGAACAATCGTGGTCGTCGTCATCATCATCATCATCATCCACACTGCTATCAGAGGGCCAGCAGATACAGGGAAGCAGCATCTGGAAACAATTATACATTTCTGTTGCAACAGTACTATATGCACATCACTTTATAACCAAATTAAACTTACCAAAGGGGTGAGTGAATTTTCACATTCCCTCTGAAAGATATCCACATCTTTCCTTTCAGTCAGCAGTGGCCACACTGGTTTCTTTGAGTCCTTTACGTATTTGTTTCACCTGTCGTAATCTCCTTCCAATGACCTATTGTATTGCATATAGTAGATTATTAGGTTACATGAATACAATTAATATTATAGTACACCGATGCTTAAGTTTGAAGGTTAATTAAACAAAAGAAAAAAAACAACAACAACACTACCGCATATGATAAAAGGCGCTCAAAAAGCCACTTCCGGTTTTCTTTGGTTGGGCCAGGAAGATCCCACGCAAGACTCAGGTCAAGGACAGCTTGATATTCACTGCTAGTGAGTTCAGCCTCTCCATCAAGCTCCATGTAGAACAGTATAAATGAAAGTAAAAAAAAAAAAAAATGAATGCAAATATGAATTGTTTAAATTACAGCTAAATTATGCTACTGTATGTATGTATAATGTAAATACCAGTTTTATGGTTTCACGAATATCATGGTCAGGACAGTCTTCCATTTGCACTATAGCAGTCTCAGGTGAACCTCCTAGTAGTACATGTACAATTGCTTGGCTGACTCCAGCCAGCCGAGGTCCACCATGTAGGAAAGAATGTCCAATCATTCGTCCTGCAACAAGGAACAGATCACTCTCTACGAGAAATTGTGATGATGATGGAACAAGATGACCTGGTTCACCGTCAAAGAGACAGGTCCTTGCAGTATTTCCTGTTTTAAAATAATGGGCTAAAAGTTATATTTTGGATTCAAAGATTAAACAAAATACTATAGTCAATGTTCCATAAAAAAATAGCTGACATACCCATGTTAAAATTAAATCCATGCTGAAGCCTCTGTATAACAGTAGACAAGAAATGTCTGGTTACTCCCTCACCAATGGCAGCATCCCCTGAATGTAACAGCAATTTACAGCAACAGTCCAAAAAAAAAAAAGAGAGAGAGAGAGACATGGCCATTAAAACCTAACTAGGAATGCCACTAAATAAATGTATTTACTTGTTTAATACCACCTTGGAGTCTGCACTTCACAGGGCTTGCCCATTCTATGCCGTTTTGTTTGTAGAATGCAACAAGTTCTCTGTCTTGATCGTCCTTGTCCATCCTCAAATCCATGGTCATCAAGAAGGGCTTTCTCATCTCATGTTGGCAAATTATTTCCTTTGTGTATAAGGATGCTGCTTTATTTTTATCTGGTTCAGTTTTCCAATCTGCAAAAAAAACACAAAAGCAACATGTCAACAGTTCAGCTAAAGCTAATTGTGTATTCTATTTCAGTTTTACATCTCAGAAATGTATTATGCTTATCAGTTCCAAAAAAAAGAAAAAAAGAAATGCATACCATAACTCATGCTTGCGGCTTCAGCTGCATTTGAATGATCACCGGTATGTGTCACAGGCACGGAAAATCCAGATGTAGATGGTTCCTCCATAGACGCATTGAATTCCAGAGGTTGCGTGCTTACAATATAATACACAAACTTCATTACCACACTTGTGTGCAATGAAGGAACAAAAGTCCTTTATAAATGGATGACCTCAAAATTTCTAAATGAATTGAACATTCATAATTTTAACATAAAACACAATATTCAATTCACAATTGTATAGTGAAGAAGACCTGCGGCAATCCTAACAGCACACATAATGAAAGTACAAAAGACAACAAAAAATAAAAATCACTGAATTGACTGGAAATATGTTGTGCGCTTTCAAAAAAACAATTATTTTCCTCACCTGTCACCTGTGCAAAAACTTGCGTGAATCTCTATCACATCAAGAGGCATTTCATTTTGACAGATGGGGCAAGTTGCCTAGAGGAAACAAACAAAAACAATATAATATAACTTTTCTTTCATGTTGTTTCAACCATGTATGAGTTTCTTTACCATGGATGGGACAACAAGATATTCTGAAGACTGATCATTAGATGTGAAAAAAAAAAAATCTTCCAATTATTTATTGAATTATTTTTTGTGTTTTAAAGTTATACAGGTTATGAATGACACATGAAAGACTAAAAGACAGAATTTTCCCTTTAACCTGCATATGCAAGAAACAAAAACACAGAGAAATACAATGTGTTATCAGAATTATTTAGATAATTTGCTGTTTCCAAAAGCAGCTCTAAAAAACTGTTTTAAAAAAATATTTATCATACCTTATTAAACTTCCAAATGATGTATTTAAATTAAATTAACTATTTTAATATATCTTACTTGATTGGTCTGTTCAGCTTCATCAGTTGTCACACAGGACTTTATGTGTGCAGTCAGGATGACTAATGGATAAGTGATTCCACATTTCTGGCATTTCTCTTTTGGCATGTCATTAAAGCTTTCAGATTCAGGTGGCAGAGCAGTGGTGTCAAGTTCCATTTGAAGAGGAGCTATGTAAAGCACTCCTTTAAAACCTTGTGTTGCTGCCTTCAAATGCTTGGCACTGTACCCACTCTCATCGGGCGGAATAAGGTTGAGCTTCCGGGAGCCCCATCCTCCTTAAAAAAAAAAAA